ACCTCTTGGGGCAGGTATTGACCAAATTTGTTGGTAATGGTGTTGAAGTTGATGCCAGCAGGCACCATTTGCTGCACAGTGGACTTGATCGATAAAAATGATGGCAATAGGTTGGTGTAGGGGCGGGCGATAGACAATAGGTTCGTAGGACTGGTCAACTGTAGCAACCCTTTCAGTAATAAACCGCTGGACTTACGTGGAGCCGGCGCTTGCGGTTCAGTTTGGTATGCATTTGCTGGTGGGGCAGACATCTGTTCGGCCTGTTGTTGCTGCCCATAACTGCCCGACCCCTGTGTGGCAGACACTTGGAGCTCATTACTCGGTTGTTGTTGTTCTTGTATTATAGGTATTGGTTGGCCGACCCCTTGTGGCGCCTGTATTACCGACACTTGCGATATAGTTGGCGTAGTATTTGCCGTACTGTCCGTTATATTATTTGTGGTACTATTGTCTGGTTTTACTTCAGTAGCTAATTGTCTTAATTTTTGTAGTTTTTCCTCAAACTCTTTATAGTCATCATTATTGAGCGGACTAATTGTGGTGATATCTTGTATATCATTTACTAATGAACTGGGTTCTAATGTGATTGGAGTGGTAGGGCTGGTAGTACTTGGTATATCTGAATGTTTCACAAATTCTTTAATTAAATTATAAGTTATATTATTGTATTTTTAAAAACTCACATATATTTTGCGGTCGAGAATAGATTAATTTACTTTTTAATGTAAATATAATGACTATAAAATGTATAACTTTGTGATAGTTTTGCACAAATATTTTTATGTTATAAAATGAATGAATAATTACTAAATTAAATGACTGATCAAAACAAACCTCATAAGCAATATGGTAACTCATAATGTAAGCTAATATTCTAATTAATTAAATTATTTTTAATGTTATTTTTTCTAACTTAAGTATTTATATTATGCACGAAGAAAGTATTTAAAAAGTTTTTGTTTAAATATTTATCTAGCTTAACTAAGTTAAAATCACTTTCAATGAATAGTCAAAATATTTGCTTCAAATCATGTCATGTATTGTAACGACAAATAAGCGTCAAAACAAGCCCTAGAAATACAATAGCAGTGAAACACATTGTATTTGTATATTAATTGCACTTTTATTATGTACTATTATTATACAAATAAATCTCATAGACTATAAATTATTAACAATTGATGTATTGATACATAAAACAATAAAATGTATTAAATATATGAATAATTGGCACAAATGAGGGGAAAAAACAGCGATAGCTCGTGACAACAGGCAATGCCATGAACTCAAAACCCATTCACACAATCAAAGAAATATTCACTGTTTTTGTGTCATTATTAATATAATAAATTAATTATGACATCCCATACCAGCTCCCCATCCGCTCACTGATCCATATATTCAATGCTTTCATTTACTTTCACTTATACTTCACATTGAAATACAATTGCATTCTTAAACAAATTAATATTTATGAATAATATGAGAGAATATTTTAATATCTATATAAGAATAATATGAATTTATAACTAAAATACTAATTTCAAGAATTTACTTTTGATTTTAGTTATCCCTGCTTTTAAAATAGAAAATATTAAAAAATATTTTTCAAATTGTATATTATTAAAACAATTAAAACATACAAAATGTAATCATATTTATCACTACTAATAATGACACAGATTTCGCAATGAATTACAAGTATTTTTGTATGAAAATTTTTTAAAAACTACTGTACAGTACTTATAACATATAAATAAGACTATAGAGAGGTTGGGAGTGAAATTCTTGCTGGGTAACAATTAAGAACTTGATGTTTCTGTCTTTTTAAGTCTGTGTAAGTGGTGTACAAACTAATGAATGCCCCATTTGTATATTACAAATTGTTAGTCATATTAATCTCTTTTTCACAAATTTTCTTTAAAAATATCTGATCTTTCAAAATAAAACCCGGATTATATATAGGCTATGAATTGGAAGATTTTTCATTGAAACCAATGAGAAATCTTTCAATTCATAGCCTATATATAATCCGGGTTTTATTTTAAAAGATCAGATATATTCATCGATCAAATTCAACATATTGAACATCAAATGAATATTGAAAACATTTCTGAATGAAATGCTTGTGATTTACAATAAATATGACACAGAGTATTTTCTTTAAGTTAATTATGAGTAAATAATATTTCAATTAAGTATTGAATGAATTTATAATTTTTATTATTATTAAAATGTTATAAATTTTTATGAAACAAACCGTTTGCCAAAAGCCGACGACGCGATTATGTTTATGACAGACATATAGATATAAGTCTTGGGATTAAATGGTTTACCGATGCTTTCATTACTAATCATTGTCTCAACGGTTTCATTGACCACATCGTCGACCAAATCCGACAACTTCTCACTTACGGCTAGTTTTCTAAGTTTTTAAAACCACATAAACTTTAGTTTTGTTTAAAAAAAATAAAATTTTAGTAAAATTATAATAGGATAAATTGTTTTGAAATTTATAAAAATGAATTGTAATTGTTTTGTTTATGTTTAACACCAAGGTTGAAATTTATTTATCATATTTTTAGCTCACACTCAATAAAATTGAATACAATATCGTGTTTTAAAAACCTTTTAAATTCTGTATATAAAGGTATTCCTGACAACAGTTCAATTCAATTCACTTTTGGATCTAAAAGTTTTTCGACAGTTTTCAATGTTTTCACTTAAGTGTTCATTAAATATATTTTAAATATAATTTTTAATTATATTTTGCTACGAAAATGATTGATTTAAGTTATAGCGCAGTGAGCTGGCTAATTACGTTTAGCATCGCTTTAATCACCGTGTATTTGGTGAGATTTTATTTGCGAGTGCTTTCCCTACCAAAAGGTCCATTTCCGTTGCCAATATTTGGAAATCTCTTAAGTATATCATTTTTATAAATTATATTTATATAAAAAAAACAGTATTTATAAATCATATATAAATTTATTAAATTATTACTATAAAAAAGTTTTCAGAGGGACAAAAGTCAATCAATTCATAACAATCAATGAATTGCATAAAACCTATGGACCGGTATATACACTATGGTTAGGGTCGTTACCAATGGTTGTCATCGCTGACTATGATTTAGTCAAAAAGGCATTCAATTCAAAGAATAATGAATTAATGGGTCGTCCGGTGACTAGTATTACTAAAATATTGCTTCAAAACGGAAAGGATGTCATCTTCACAAGTCATGGACCCGTTTGGGCCAGCCTTAGACGGGTTGCCCACTCGGCGGTCAGGTATTCATGACATTTAAATTATAAATTTCAAAACAATTTTTCTGAATATCCTATTACAATTCATTTTCATAAATTTCAAAACAATTTGTCCTATTATAATTTTACTATAATTTTATTTTTTTTAAACAAAACTAAAGTTTATGTGGTTTTAAAAACTTAGAAAACTAGCCGTAAGTGAGAAGTTGTCGGATTTGGTGGACGATGTGGTCAATGAAACCGTTGAGACAATGATTAGTAATGAAGGCATCGGTAAACCATTTAATCCCAAGAGTTATATCTATATGTCTGTCTTCAACATAATCGCGTCGTCGGCTTTTGACAAACGGTTTGTTATAAATTCATTAAACTATTCATAAATTAAAGTTTTCTAAAAAAGATATTTCATTAACAGATACTCTTTCGATGACAAAGAACTCAAATTTTCTGAAGAAAGCTTTGAGTACTTCAGAGCCAATACTAATCAACCCACCCTGGTGGACAGAGTGCCGATTCTGAAGCCATTCTACGCTAATATAGTCCATAAAATTTTACAAACAGTGAAAGCCTTGTCCTCATCGGTTAAACAGAAATATTTGGATCGACTGAAAGTGCACTCAAAGGGAGAGATCCATGACTTCTGCGATGCGCTCATTGAAGCCAAAGAGGAGGCCATCGCTGACGAGAAAGAGAGCGNTCGCTGACGAGAAAGAGAGCGCTTCCGCCTTAACTGATGTCAACCTTTCACTGGTTATTATGGATTTATTTTTAGGTTTGACTACTTTTTTATAATAAATAAACTAAAGATTATAATTATAATAAATTCATTGACAGCCGGTGTCGACACAACACAGTATATGAACGCTACCTAATATGATAACTACCGTTTGTTATACCTTTACGTCAATTCTTACTCTGTGCTTTAGTTACTATAATAGCCGCTATCTCACCGTCTGTTAGTGGTGTTCTTACTGACGGTAATACAGAATGCATTCATTGCTGAGACTCTCAGATATAAAGGGGTCTTCCCATTAGGAATTCCACACGTGGCTCTCTGTGACCATCAATTAGGTATTCATTAAAATCATTAAAACCACAAACTAGGTCCCTGAATTAACACTAAACTAATTTTTAATTTCAATCACACTTTAGATAATTACCACATCAAAAAGGATACATATGTTTTGGGAAACCTATTGGCCATAACCCGTGACCCCAACCTATGGCCCAAACCAGATGTGTTCGACCCCAACAGGTTCTTAGATAAGGACAACAAATACATGTCAGCCCTCCCGGGGTTCACACCCTTTGGAATCGGACGGCGTATATGTTTGGGTGAAAAGCTGGCGCTCGCGGACCTCTTCTACATAACTGTCCGCCTATTGAAGTCTACTCCAGACTATGTGTTTGCGTTGCCATCGGGTGAGGGAACGGCTGATTTAGAGCCCGACCCTAATATTTTCTTTCGTAGAGCTCCCAATCCCTATGAGATAATACTTAAAAAACGATAATTATGAATTACCATTAGGTATATCATTATTTCCATTTATAATGGTCACATATTTAACCAATAGTTTTTGTATAAATGTTTGTTTGATGCTATACTTTGTGATTTATTTGTACTGTAAATCTTATGTGGATTAATATTTTTGATTAAAGATTTTAATTCTTTACAAACTACTTTAGTGTAACATTTTACTTGTATTTGTAATGTAGTTGAACATTGCATTCATTTAATACAAATAAAAGATTTTATACATAATTTATTACGATATTTAAAGTAATATAATACAAAATATGTTTATAAATTGAATTTGTGATGAAACTACAGGACACGTGAGTTAGTTAATGATTAATCGTAGGCATTCCCTAATCAAACGTACTTTTATCACAACTTTATATTATTATTAGATTTATATAATTGAATAATCCGTAAAATGAAATAAATTCATAATAATATTTGTAGTTATGCTATATTTTTGCATACAGTAACATGTTTAATAAAATTAAATAATAAATAATAAATTAAATAATATTTATTTGCGTTGCTGTTAGAATAGCATGAAAAATGTTTTGCATGTAAATAAGTATTGTATAATTGTTTGGAAAGACCTTGGATGAAATTGTTGTCAAACGTGATCCGAGGCTTTTTCTACATTATCGCTGCACTTGTAGTTAAAAACCAATCACTGGATCCCAGACTAGTTATATAGATAATTAGAGTTTGTTTATGTTGAACACCAGGTTGAAACTTATTTATCATATTTTTAGCTCTCACTCAATAAAAGTGAATACAATCTCGTGTTTTGAAAACATATTAAATTCTGTATATAAACGTATTCCTCACAATAGTTCAGTTTAATTCACTTTTGGATCTAAAAGTTTTTCCACAGTTTTCAATGTTTTCACTTAAGTGTTCATTAACTATATTTTAAACATAATTTTTAATTATATTTTGCTACGAAAATGATTGATTTAAGTTATAGCGCAGTGAGCTGGCTAATTACGATTAGCATGGCTTTAATCACTGTGTATTTGGTGAGATTTTATTTGCGAGTACTTTCCCTCCCAAAAGGTCCATTTCCGTTTCCAATATTTGGAAATCTCTTAAGTATATCATTTTTATAAAATATATTTATATAAAAAAAACAGTATTTATAAATCATATATAAATTTATTAAATTATTACTATAAAAAAGTTTTCAGGGGGACAAAAGTCAAACAGTTCATAACAATCAATGAATTGCATAAAACCTATGGACCGGTATATACACTATGGTTTGGGTCGTCACCAATGGTTGTCATCGCTGACTATGATTTAGTCAAAAAGGCATTCAATTCAAAGAATAATGAATTAATGGGTCGTCCGGTGACTGGTTTTAGTAAAATAATGCTTCAAAACGGAAAGGATGTCGTCTTCTCAGATCACGGACCCGTTTGGGCCAGTCTTAGACGGGTTGCCCACTCGGCGGTCAGGTATTCATGACATTTAAATTAGTTTTACTAGATGATTTTAATTACTATTATAATTTTAGTACAATTTTACTTTTTAAAACAAAACTAATGTTTATGTGGTTTTAAAAACTTAGAAAACTAGCCGTAAGTGAGAAGTTGTCTGATTTGGTGGACGATGTGGTCAATGAAACCGTTGAGACAATGATTAAGAATGAAGGCATCGGTAAACCATTTAATCCCAAGACCTATATATATATGTCTGTCATAAACATAATCGCGTCGTCGGCTTTTGGCAAACGGTTTGTCTCAAAAAAATTTTATAACATTTGAATAATAATAATAAAAATTATAAAACAGATACTCTTTTGAAGACAAAGAACTGAAGTTTTATGAGGAAAGCTTTGAGTACTTCAGAGCCAACTCTAATAAATTAGCCCTAACTGACCGAGTTCTTATACTCAAACCATTGTATGCCAATGTGGTCAATAAAACCATACAAACAATGAAAGGACTGTCGATGAATGTGAAAAACAAATATTTGGATCGACTGAAAGTGCACTCAAAGGGAGAGATCCATGACTTCTGCGATGCGCTCATTGAAGCCAAAGAGGAGGCCATCGCTGACGAGAAAGAGAGCGCTTCCGCCTTCACTGATGTCAACCTTTCACTGGTTATTATGGATTTATTTTTAGGTTTGACTACTTTTTTAATAATAAATAAAATATAGTTTATACCGTAATTATAATGCATTCATTGACAGCCGGTGTCGACACAACACAGTATACGATGCGATGGATTATACTATTGATGGCAAACAATATAGAAATGCAGTTAAGAATGAGACACGAAATCAATGATATTATCGGCGATAGAGTGGCAGACAATCACCACAAGAATAATTGCCATTATGTCAATGCATTCATCGCTGAAACTCTTAGGTATAAAGGGGTCGCGCCGTTAGGAGTTCCACACGTGGCTCTCAGTGACTATCAATTAGGTATTCATTAAAATCATTAAAACCACAAACTAGGTCCCTGAATTAACACTAAACTAATTTTTAAATTCAATGACACTTTAGATAATTACCACATCAAAGAGGATACATTTGTTTTTGGAAACTTATTGGCAATAACTCGTGATCCCAACCTATGGTCCAAACCGGATGTCTTCTCCCCCAACCGGTTCTTAGATAAGGACAACAAATACATGTCAGCCCTCCCGGGGTTCACACCCTTCGGAATCGGACGGCGTATATGTTTGGGTGAAAAGCTGGCGCTCGCGGACCTCTTCTACATAACTGTCCGCCTATTGAAGTCTACTCCAGACTATGTGTTTGCGTTGCCATCGGGTGA